GTGTAAATTCACTGATGATGCCTTCTGTTCCCAGGGTTATGCCCTGAACAATGAAACTGCTGCCCATTCCTTTCCAGAGAGCTCTTGGACCCTGCATGTTGAAATATCCAACAAATTTAAAAATTTCAGTAAATTCATACCACACAGGTCTACAATTCTACTGTTGAAATTTGTAATTATACTCGGGTAACAGATCATTTTTTAATCAATGAAGAAGTTTTTGTTTTTCAATAATTTCAAAGATCTGTCAATAACTTTGGAGGCTCCCAAACTGTTAATACTCTGTATTATAAACTTAACACCACTTTTTATGGACAAAATGAGCTTGAGATGTCAAAAGTACATCCATAAGATATTCAGAATTAAGAATTTCTTCCTGTCTTCTGATCTGAGTTTATGGATTGCCATTCCCCTGCAGAATTGGAAGTACTACCTTTGGAAGGACAACAATAATTTTATCCACATAATGATTAATGATCTTTTAGAAACCTAATGAAAAAAAAAAAAATCCAAGGACTTTTTGCTTTCTAACATCCACAAATCTTTCCCCACTAAGTACTGCACTTCTGAAAAAAAAAATAATGATTTACTTGATCTTCTTGACACATTTCTGTAGCCATAAAAATAAAAACCCCTCATAACAGCCATGCTTTCCAACACCACCTATATAAACAATCAGAGATTTCAATGTACATACATGCTGTAGGAGACCTCAGTGCCCAGATACAGCCTGGCACCAAATACAAACCTGTGTCTTATTGATGCAGTACATTATATTGACAACAGTAAATGGTGTGAGATGATAATTCCTTGCATGATAGTTAACCTGTTAAAAATATAAATTGCATTAAAAATACACTTGCAGATGCTACAACTCTGAAGGATAAAGGCATTTCAAATGTAAGAATTTTATCCCTGTAAAGATCAGCTACAAATATGAGTAAGTTTTCACTGAAATCTAGGGAAAAGGGCAGCCCTTTAAACTATTCATATGCTGAACGTTTAAACAATAAACCATACATAAATCAGAACCTATGAAACAGTAAAACAGAAAGTATTTTACCAGCTCAAACCATTCTTCTTGCAAACAGGGATGTGAAAGTTGCTCTGCAGACCCCAAAACACTTGCTGTAATTTGCTTTCCACTGCCCAAACAAAAATGAGCAAGATTTCTCCAAATAAAATAAACTGCAGATTAGAAAACAAGTATTCTACAAGTAAAAATTTGTTAATGTACCAGAGACCTCCTAAAAATTGCAAAACTTCCCATAATACATACTTTCATACAGAGATATGACAGTACACAGGAGCTTTGACTGGAATAGGTAATATAAAAGACATACCTGACATTGACGACGTAGAACAATGCAAGGATGTGCCAACACATTTTCTGTAAACAGGCTTTAAAGCAAAATTGTATTTAATGCACAAGAAGCCACTAAAAATTCCTTAGAAAAGACTTGTTATTTGTCTCTAACAGCAGCAGATCAGTATTTAGACAAGCAATACATTTCCTAGTGAACTAATAGGCCACGTTTTTGATGGTTACCCAACAGGCTCACAAGAAACAAGTTACATAAAATCTGATGTATACATTTATTGTGAAAAAGCCCCATATGTATGTAATATGCACATATTTTTATAAGCAAAAAAAAATACTAAATTTCTTAATCTCGCCCTCCTCAGAGTATTGCAGTGCAAAACAAACCACAACTACAATTATGAGAGGTTTAGTTCCCAGTTTTATGTTAATTCTGCATCCTGCATTAATCAAGACTCCTCTTAGGAGGGCAGAGAAGGTTTCACCAAAAACACTGCTGACCCAAACCAACTGTCCAACCACTGACAGAATTCATATCTCAATCACGACTTCACAGGGAAGTTCTCACTTCCAAAGCAGAATTCCTGGTTGCAGACATTCAGATAGAATATTAATTTCAGCTCAAAGCGCCTGAGTGATCAGAGTACCTATCTGTGCATTGTTCAAACCTGGACATGGATTAGAAAAGTAGAACATCCAGGATTTTTACAAACACCCCAAGCTACAGAATCATCTGTGGTAGGTTTCTGAACTCCCGATAAACAAGTGGCACAGAAAAATACTGCAGTTTTGTAACTATTGATCTAATTTGTAGTTTGCTGCTACCAAAAGAGGTAAAACCTTCCCTGGGCATCAGCATCTTATAATTTATCACTTTTTCAAAAATACTATCAATAATCAGGGTCATCATCATAAAGAATGAAATGGCCTTCAGACCACTTGGTTAGATGAACATTATGGTCTGAGGATACTTTGGTAATACACTTGAAGACATTTTCACTTTCTTAGGAAACATTTGTATCGCCTAGAAATATTAATAAAAGTTGCAAATGTCAAAGAAGTTTTCTGGTGTTACTTTCAGATTACTTGGATGGGTACAAACATCCTGGGCATTCCAAATGAAAAACTGTTTCTTACATTCACATATTTTTGGCAACAGTTAAAGAAAACAGAAACTTAAATGGGGGTAATAGGTTTCTAAATACATTTCAACTTCATCTTATGGCTATCGGAATAAAAACATAATATAGAGGTGTATGTAGGGTTTATAAGACAAATATGAGTTTTACAACCCCTTTGTCACCGAACACATCTCTTACCTTGCAAGGCCAATACCAAAGCCAGCAAATCTGTTCAATTGTTCTGAAAAACAAGAAAAAACCCAAAACAAAACCAGATGATACGGCAGTGATAATCACAAAATAGAGACAATGACGTGCACAGGATCTGAAAAACTAGTTTGATCCTGTACTTCCATCAAAAAATTACAAGCACTAAACTACAATACTTATGGCAGTTGAGCAACAGAAGATATAAAAAAAATATTCCCCCAGGAATATTTGCACTTTGGACTGCATTTAAGTTTGTACATACTCTTATATATAAAATTATGCTTTTCTTACAGCCAAAAAAAGAAGAGAGAAAATGAACAGTAAAACAGAGAGCATTTTGCCAGCTGAAACCAACTACTGAAAGATTTAGCATGCGTGAGTTTGCAGTAATTCTGAAACATAAATTTAGGTAATTGAGGTGAAAATACTGCAAAAACAGTATAAAAAGGCAAAATCTTGTGTGAAGTTATACAAAAAAACACAGATGAAGTAACAAACATCAACACAAAGCAAATTTTCAAGCCAGTTGTTTATCTCCAGTCCTTTGCAAAAATCTAAATTCTCCAAATTGGAGAATTACAGAAGTAATTAATTCAACTCTCTGTCGCCTGCAACCAGACAGACATTTGCACATTGGGAATTATCAGAAGTGATTTTAAGATGAGCATCAGAACAATAAAGGCATTTTAAAGTCAATGCTCAGCCTACAAGCTTCATTGTGCACGCAGTCTGAAGGCATGGATGAAGTCAGTAACTTCAGTGGGGCTCCACACAAATGTGGCAGCCCTCCTAAAAATGGTAAGATACTATCTTCAGTGATTACAGCAACTCCTTATCAGTGTTCCTAAGTGCAGAATGAACACACCCTCCACATGCAGACAGGGGAAAAAATGCAGTGTCCAGCTATGCAAGGATACTTAATAGTGCTTCAACCAGTGCATGCATGGATGGAGTCCAGCTAAAGGCGGTACTCTTTGTAAGACCTAAATAATGATACTGCACGGCAGCTCAGAAAAGAAAGACTTGCCTACTAATATAATTAGATTTCAGGTAAATTACTATTTCAGAGATTTTTTGATACTCAAGTGTCTACAACCTGCTCCTTTTATTTAAAGAAAACAACATACAGTACCCTAGATAGAGCAAGTTTGCCTTAATTCACCTCAACTTCGAGAAGATCTAAAATGACTTTATGTATAGAGACTTATACTCAATTTCCCAGCAATTACCGAAAAAAGCCTTGTACTCAGTTGCTTCCTTAAATCCTACAAGTCCCACAGTTCCCTAGCTATCACGCATGAAGGGGGAAAGTTTACGTCAGCAGCTCATGTTTTAAACCCGACAGAAACCACGCAGTCTGCAACACCACGACCACAATAACGCAGCACTCCAAGAGGCAAAAGCACTTCCTGCCCTTGAAGAAGGCGGGGTGTTTCTGCAGGAGATTGTTTACACGGGCAATGAGGAGCAAGCTGACTGCATACTGCCTAACGAGAAGCTGCGGGGCGCGTTCTGGCACTCTCAAATCACACTTGAATGGAGCTGCACAGTGCTGGAGCGCAACAGGCAGCGAGTGTTCAACAGAGCACTCCGTGTTCTTCTTCCCGCGGCGCTTCAGCACCGCCAGCGCTGGGCGGGCCGGGTGGCGCAGCTCAGGCCCGCCCGCCCTTGCCCGGCGGGTCACTGCCCGCGGCGGGGCAGCGGGGTTCAGCGGCACCGGGCGCGGCGAGCGGCGGCGGCCGCCCCCGGGCGAGCCCAGGCCGGGCCCTCCCTTACCGGCACGGGGGCCGCCCGCGCCGAGGTTGGCCTCCTCGTTGGGGCCGGCGCCGCCAGGCGGGGTCCCAGCCCCGTACGGCGGCGTCTTCTCGCCCCAGTGCAGGTTGCGGCTGCCGGGGATATCGGGCGGGCTGGTCACCCAGGAGCCCAGCTCCGAGCCGCTGCCGGAGGGCCTGGAGCCGGGGCCCAGTTCGTCGCGGCCGACCCCACCGTAGCCGAAGCCGTCGAAGCCGTCGGGGCGCCGCGGGTGCATGGCGCGGGTGGCTGAGGGAGCCCGGCGGGGCCGCGGGGAGCGGGAGAGGAGCGGGAGGGGCCGCGCTCAGGCCGCTCCAGCGGGAGCGCACCCGGAGCCGCCGCCCGCCTCGGCACTTCCGGCCGCGGTGAGGCCGCGCGCGTGACCGCCGGGGGGCGGGGCCGGGGGCGCTGGCCAATGGTGGCGCTCCGCTTGCCCGGCCCGGGGCGGGGCGTCCGGCGCCGCGGGAGGGCGGGCGAGGGCGCCCCCTGGGGGCGCGGAGGGGTGTCCCGGGCGCGTGCGCAGTCCGTGCGCCAGCTCCGCTGCCGGCCGGGCCCGGGCGGGCCGCGCCCGCGGGAGTCCGTGAGGCGGAACCGGAGACGTGAGGTGTCCGTGCGGACCTTTGGCAGCGTGTTCTTCCGGGAAAAAAAGCCTTCTTATCGACCCCGGAGGTGAGCACAACACTGCACACGGCAGGCGCAGGGAGGAGGCCAAGAAGTGGGGTATGGACTATGGAGAGGAACACAGAGCACCCAAGATCCCCAAAGCCCTCTGTCTCATTTCCATAAACAGTCCCAAAGAACAGACTGCCCATGATAACTGACTGCGTAGAAAGTGAGACACACGTCAGGGCGTGGAAGTCAGACCACAGAAAGTATCCCCCAATGCCAGAGGATATCCTGTTGGCTGGATGGATGCAGCTGGGTCGATTCTGACGCCAGCACAGACATCCCTTCAGCTGGATGGATTCTGACACCAGCACAGATATCCCTGCAGCTGGATCAGTGCTGGAACCAGGACTGATATCCCTGCAGCTGGATCAGTGCTGGAACCAGGACTGACATTCCTTCAGCGGGATCAATCCTGGAACCAGGACTGACATCCCTGCAGCTGGATCAGTGCTGGAACCAGGACTGATATCCCTGCAGCTGGATCAGTGCTGGAACCAGGACTGACATTCCTTCAGCGGGATCAATCCTGGAACCAGGACTGACATCCCTGCAGCTGGATCAGTGCTGGAACCAGGACTGACATTCCTTCAGCAGGATCAATCCTGGAACCAGGAGTGCTGATCTCTTCTTTTTCTCTCTTTCTCTCGCCTCCTCTTTAGCTCACCTCTTCCTCTCTGTCTTGCCTTTCACACTACTTCTTTATCTAAAACCCATTGCCTTGTGCTTATATAGTAGGTCAAGGATGAAAATGCCAGCTTCCATGCTGAGTATGTAATTTACTAATAAACTTTCTGATTATTTGCTGACCCTGTTAACTTTTGTTGTTCCTTTTAACCATGAGCATTTATGAATCTTGCTTCCTCTTAGGAGTGGGAGGCCATACCCTGTGGGTTTAATGATCCCTTAGCTCAGAATCACAGAATCATTTAGGTTGAAAAGACCTCTGAGATCACCAAGTTCAAACTATGACCCTGTCAACCACCCCATGGCACGTCCAGTCTTTCCTTAAACACTTCCAGGGACAGTGATTCCACACCCTCCCTAGACAGCCCATTTCAATACCTGGTCACTCTTTCTGTGGAAAAAAAGTTTCCTACTGGGCAGCCAAAACCTCTCCACGCACATTAAACCATTTCCTCTCACTGTGTCCTTTGTTGCATGGGAGAGGAGGCTGACCTTGCTACAATCTCCTTCCAGGCAGCTCGTCTTCTCCGAAGAAGCTCAAAAAGGTCTCCCACAACTGCATCTTAGTCTGACATGCAGTTATTCTTATTTTGTGCGCTAGGTTAAGCCAGCATTAGTGCATTCAAGTCTAAGTATAGCATGAGTCATCCACAGCTTTGTGAGAGGAAATCTCATTAGTGCATATGAATATCTCAAAGGCAGGTGCCAAAGGATGGTGCCAGACTCTTTGGTGTCCAGGGACAGGAAAAGGAGCATTGGCCATAAACTGAAACACAAGCTCAGCACATAAAGTTACAACATAGCTGTACTCTGTTTTGTTATACAGTTTTAGTCTTCCTAAAGTTGTGGAAATCATAAAATCAGACTAGTCAGGATTGAAAGAAGTCTTTAAAGGTCATCTAGACCTACTGCCCTGCAATAAGCAGGGACACCTTCAATTGCCAGCAGGTGTTTAGGGCCCTTTGCAAACTGAATGAATGTTCCCAGAGATGTGGGTACAGCCTCTCTGGGCAACCTTTTCCAGTGTTTTACCAGTCTTACAATACTCTCAGTCCTTCAGCTGTGTCAATGGCTCTACTCAGCTTCGTATCATCTCCAGATTTGCTGAGGGTGCACTCAATCCCACAATGTCCATGTTATTGTTGAAGATGCTGAACATACTGATAGGAAATTGAATATTAGTATTAAATACAACTTCAGGTGCGGGATCCATGCCTTCTACACAGTGTCCCCAGACCATTTTCTGGTGTTTGACTGTGCTCCCATAGCACAGAACCTAGTCCCACATGATACAGTAGAAGTTTCGGCTTTCTTCTTTTCTTTGAAAGAAAACACCAAGAAAACAATTCAGAAGTTTACTTTTGCAGTGAGAAGAAATTGGTAACAGCCTAAGTGCAGCAATTACAATAGGACACAAAGCTTCTGTGTTAATGATCCCTTAAATTTAATTCCCATGTGACTTAATATAGAGCCAGGCATGCAGTTTCTGTGCTTGGTCTTGGAAGACCAAGCAGGTCTTCCTGCTTGGAAGACCAGCCTCCAGGAGAGAAAACAGAATGAAGGTTGTCGATTAGAGAAACCAGTAAACCACTGTTCTTCAGAAAAAAATAGGACAAAGAGCGTTGTTCCAAAGAAACTACAATCTTTTTCCACACTGGAATATGACATGACTGTTGGAATAGTCAGATCTGCTGCTTTTTCTAAAACAGTATTCGTTGACTAATATTGGGTTGGACTCAGTGATCTTTAAGGTCCCTTCCCACCTAGTCATTCTGTGAATTCTGTGAATTCTGTGAATTCTGTGAATGTGTGTGAAAGGGAGAATTGTTCAGTGTGAGGAAACTGTATTAAAATTAAAATTACATTTTTCTTGGAAAACAATGCTCATAGCTACTGCTTTGTTAACCTGTTAGCAAAGGAGTAGGATGCAAAGCTGCTGACTCAGATTTGATTTACACCACGTCTTTGAGATCTGCACAGTGGGTAGCTGTCCTCTTGTTCATATAATGGAAGAGAGCAGCTATGCTCCACAGCAGCCTGGGACTTCCAGCAGCACAGTTGAAAGACAGTTGAATTTGGTCTACAAATTGGGCCTGTGTGACTGCAGAAGTGGTTTCTATGGAGAGACATCAAGAGCTGCCCCTCTGTCAGGCACAGCCAACTCCAGCCAGACTTGCCATGGCCAAAGCTGAGCCCATCCATGATTTTGGTAGCAGGAGAGGGTAAGAGAAATGTGGTTTTTCCAGTATCCTACTCTATTTTAAACTGGCAATAAATTAATCTTCTCCAAGTGGGTGTCAGGTTTGAATGTTAATTTGACATTGGCTTAGATGGGACACACAATAGTGCTTATGTCATTTGGGATCTTCACCCCATGCTCATGTTTTGCTTCCCATAGTGATTCAGGATGAGAGCACAGATGCTTTACACCAGCAGGAGGTTCACCCACAGCCAAGGAGAACAGCAAACTCACCAGCTTTTTTCTGGGTCTCTTGGGCCTGACATCCACAGCATCCTTTGTCATATCCCAGTGGTGGATGTCCAAACAGCTCTTTCCCTTCAGCTGCTCATCTCTTGAGTGCTCTCAGAAGAAAATCTTTGGTTTGCCTCACAGTTTTATTAGGCACATAAATAGACCCTCAAGCAAAAGTCACCCCAAAAGGACCAGCAAAAAGGAGCCTGGGGTTTTAACACCTCCTGGCAGTCTGGACTTGCAAATTACATTTTCCTGCTGTACTTCTCTGCAACTCCCTCAATTACCCAAACAGGAAACTGGAAAGTCCCACAGGCTCTTGGGTCTCTCCCTCACACTGACAACTGGCACCCAGCATCTGTACTTTGGCTGGCTTGTTCACCAATGTGATCAAGAGTGATCTGGGCAAGGAGGAAGAGCCTGCAAATTGTCTTCATGGGAGAATTTTCAATTCTGAGCTGAAAGGAAACAGGCCTGGAAATTACATTGGTCTTTGTGTGGTTGTTTCTCCTCATAGCTCAGTCTTAAGGTGGGTGGCTGGATCATCCTTTGCTGATTGTGCAGTAACACCTCTACTTCAGGATTCTTTTGTGTACAATGTGTAGAACACCTGGAATATTAGATATACCTCCAAACCATAGGAACGACACCAAATTGCAAAGCCAATATATGATACCATGTACAATGTATTAATGCTCTTCTAATGGTTTTGATAGCAGAATACCAAATTCTGTTAAATGCTGCATATATGATTAATAAATACAAAACCATGAATAAACAAAGTTCAGAATCTGTTCCTCAGCTGAGTTGAAGAAATATATATGGGAAATGGGAATCAAAACTAAAGAAATGAAAAGATTCTTCTTGTTGTAGGTTGTTGCTGGAGTACTACTTGATACAAAGTGGTGTTATCCTGGGGGATTTGTAATGAGAAAAGTCCATTAAAGAACTCAAAGAATTTCTCTGTGATCAAGATTTGGATGTAATTAATTTTAATTCATCTACACTACAGAGATGTGCAATGGCATGTGTGAACATGTGATGTGCATCCCCTGCACTCCTCCTGAGGCCTCAGTGTGGTCTGAGAAATGCTCATTAGGCCTCGATCTTCACAAACGGCACCTAGGCTGAGCTCCTTCTGAGTTTATCAAAATCAGTCTGTTCCCAGGAACTAGGACTGTCTAATGAGCTCCTGATTTTTAATGAACTGCCTTGGAAACTTACTTTTCTTGCCTCGAAAACAACCCAAGCAGAATAACAATTTTGTTATCAAACTTTCAAAGAACATGCTATCCCAGATTTGCAGTCAAGATGAAAAATTATTATGATTGAAGCCCATTCTCTTGTGACTCTATAAACAATGGCCCAAGGTGAGACCCTTTGAGCTCTCCTGGACAGCAGAGACTGTGACCAGCACCTCCCTCTATGTGAGGCCTCTCAGAGCCAGAGAACGCTCAAGTTTGCTAAACTTGGAAGATCACTGAATGATAATGATGGACTTACACCCCCACTTCTCCAGACTCAACCCTTTGCCCATTGGGATGATCCAAAGGCATCAGATGTGTGTCCTTCACCAAATTTGAGGAGAATTTGTCACAGGTACTCTGTGGGTGTTCTTATACAGACCCTTTAGGTATGTGTGCATGAGGGTGTGAATATGCTATAGCATATGTACAAGGAATGCTGTTCTCCTAGATTCTTAAGTACTTCAGGTTTGTAAGTTAGGCCAATGAGTTGTAGTAAATTCTATATGAATCCTTAGATAAATTGTTTGTCAGTTAAGTGCCCTTAAGTGCTGTTAAAGCTATAGACCTAAACTGTCAAGTCTGGGGCGCAGTTTAGCAAAGGGGTCTACTCTGAAACTTGTGATGCAATGGGAGGGTCTTCCTTATTCTTGTTTGTCCTTACCCCTTTCCTATCCTTATCCCCAGCCTCCACAGAGTTAAGTTTTGAGTTGATTTTGGATTTCAATTGACTGGTTTTGGGTTTTGAGTTTGCTCTTTTTCTGTGTGCTTTTACCAGAGCATTAGTAGTAAGTAGTAGTAGAGGGAACCTTGTAAATTAACTACATCATACTTCCTGTTTTATATTAAACGTGCTTTTGCCTATGAATTTGCTGTGATTCTTTAAGTAACCTTAAAACGCTCATTTGCCAGAGAACACTAAGAAAAATAAACACGTGTACATTTGAACCAATGCATTGGCACAGCATTAGGTTTCTGTTGCTGCCAGCACAGGCTTAAGCTGTGCATTGGCTGAGCAGCAGCACCATCTTGTGATACAGGTACAAAACATTCTGTAGGGTCACACACCTGGATGTTCACCCTGTGCTTGGCAAGTGGGGGACTCAGCTTCTGGCCTTTGCACTGGCCACTGATCCCGACCCAGTCGTTCTGTTGAGCTACTTCAGCCTCACCCTGTTTCATTGGCGCTTAATTGAAACATGGACAGCTAATTCAGTTATCGATCAGCTCCCAAAGCATCCAGGGAGCTGCTGGCAACTGGGCTTAAGGTCTGGTCATTTTAGTTTGTTTTGGAAGCTCTACTTCTGTCATTATAGATGTCCTGCTGGTATATTAAGTCTTACCTGATGTACTAACTCTTATCACTGTCATAATCACACCAGGAATGGGACTAATCTGTCTTCCTTGCTGAGGCTTAGGAGAAATGCAGGAGAAAAGCAAGCTGTGTGTGTCATCAATGAGGCAATGCCATGGGGTTTTTGAAGTTTTTGGACTTATGTCATTTTAGATGCTGAGCTATAGGTAAAAAAACTGTCAGGCAGTCTGCTTAATAGACTCCCCATCTATTAAAAAAGAGAGTGCACACACTCTCCTGTATATCAGTTAGTCTTGGAGCATGCCACCAACTCTCCATGAATAGTAATGATGATAATAGCAAGTAATGAAAGAAAATCATGTGACAAAAAGGAGGCTGTGGCTGATGGCAGAGCAAAGGACAGAGGTCTGTGGGCTGAATGTCACCTGTTACAAGGTAATGAATCTGTCTAGTTTCCATCTGAAATGCCTGATGTCATTTGCAGTTTCTTGGGATTCTACTCCTTTCAGATATGAAGCCAGCTCTCATGCTTTATAGGCTTTTTGGCCTGACACCAGCATCTAAGCAGATGAAAATAATGATTGCTGCCACACTCTCTGGTACTGTTAATTTTTCAAAAGTTCATGTTTTCTATCACTGCTTTAAGGGAGGGTGTGAGGCTTGGTGCCAATGCTCAAATGTGGACCTGGAGTGCTAAACATAGGTATGTCGTGTTAAACCCTGACAGGTGGGGTGTCCCAGGTTACTTGTTGGGCCCCTCCAATTCAGAAAGACATGGATCCTTTTGTAGACCTTGTGTCACATCTGGCCTCCTCTGGGTGGTTTGTTTAAGCAAAGGTGTCTGAAGAGTGCCACCCCACCTGGGCGCTATTCCTGGTCCTTAGGATTGCTGAGGTTTCCTTGCCCTGACATAGTTTCCAGGTCTTCACTGTTCTGTGTCCTTGTGTGGGATGAACAGAGGAGTGCTTCCTCACCTCGTGGAAGTCGTGGGGGAAGAAGCACACTCAGAACTTCACAAACATGCCCAGGTATAATAGGCAGTACACTTCCAACAGCTATGATAGTTATTTCACAATATTATTTCAACTTTGTGAGATGTTTTTTGGTGGTGCTGAGGACAGACAGAGATTCTTTTCCAAGGAGGTCAGAATCTGTGAAAACAAATGACAGATGGGTGAAAAGCATACCAATAGAGTGAATGAAGTACCTTGTACTCTTTTCAGTGTTATTTATTCAAGTAATTTATTCAGATTTTTCTGTTGATTCTTTTATCTTTCATACAGTGTTTAGCATTTTATAGATACTTATTAGCTATCCTTCAAGTACTACACTGAGGCTGATCATGTCCAAGTTAGGAACTTGAAAACTGGCAGAGAGGTTAACTCTTCTCAAAGTCTCACAGTAAGACAATGAAAGATTTCCAGCAAGGTTAAAAGACAGGCTCCAACCATGCACAGCTTTTTTGCAGAAATTGTTTATATTTATCATGTGCTTTTACTTTCTTAAAAGTATATAATTCAAGCAATTTAACAATGTATGTGTTTCCCTTACAAATCAGAATTATCAAATCAGACTCTGATCTTGCCACAGATGCTCAGGAGCACTCCATGCCCTGTGAGCTTTGTTAACCATTACCTCAAATTTTGTCTGCTTCTTCTCTTCAGCATCCCATGCCAGCCAGCTGCTTCAGAGTAGGATGTTGGTTGCTCCTTAAAATAAACTCTTCTCAGAGTGTTATCTTGACCTGGAGTAATTTTCTAATTTTTTTGCAGCCAAAATCTGTACCCCTTCCTGCATGCTGCATGTCCCTGGTGCAAAGTCCATGGTGTTCCTAGACAAGAGACCACTTATACCTGCCGCTTACCACCATTTTCCTCAGCCTTCCACCCTCCATCCCACTCCCTGTAGCCATTCCTTACCCTTGCTGTGGACAGGGAAATCCCTGGTCCTTCCTGCCATTGTGCCTCCTCACAGCACAGCCAACATCTGAGCTAAAAAAAAAAACACCCAAGGAATTTAAGGCAATCTAAATCATACCATGTTAACAGAACTGGATTCTTTGGATCATGCAGGAGAAATGCTGATGGCACACAGCCATTTTATACAAAATTCCCAGTTCTCCATCTAACACAACCCTATTCCACCTGTGCAACCCTTCTGCTCTGGTCTCTTTATTCAGGCAGCCTTATCCCATTTAGAGAAACCCTGAAAGTAGGATACATACAAGAAGGGCATCAGACTGTGTGAGTGTGTTCTGAGTGTTATAAATGAAAATTAGTCCAGCCAAGTTAAAAATGAAATAATAAAAAATTTATTTAGGATCGAATTCTCTCTGAGCCAGCCACAAGGAAAAGGACAGCGCTGAGGAAGGACGCCTCTCGGCAGAGGTTCCCCTGGACACACACACCACCCTTCTGGACACTGCAGTTCTTATAGGAAATTTTCTGCCTGAGGCCAGGATTTCAGCCATCTGTCTTTTTTTTCTGTTCAGAGTCCCACAATTTCATAAAGTTCTTTTCTCTGAGGGGTTGAACAATCCAGGGGTTAGTGAACCATGGCATTCAGATGTATCAGCCCGGAGGACTCCAGCGATCCCAATCTTAGGTCGTTACCAGGACGATCAGCTCCCAGGTGTTCCAGTATCCTTTTGGGGCAGCCCATCTCCACACTAGCCACATGTATTAGATTGTAAATAAGGCATTGTCCAGAAAAAACCCGGCTCTGGTGTAACTGAATAGGTGAAGTGGCGGGGCTGCTCACAGTGCTGGTGTGTGTATTTTTTAATAACTAAATATATACATCCCAAATCATATTTCCCTTGATTCACTACAACAATATTTAATTGGCACAAATTATTATCATACATATCAAGAGGAGGGCTACTATGAAGGTGAAAAATCTCGAGGACCAGATTTACAAGGAAGGTCTGAGGTAAATTTGCTTGTTCTGCCTGGAGAAGAGCAGGTGACAAGTGACCCCATTACTTCCTCATAGGGGATAGCAGCTGGGGAGGTTCAGGTTGGCATTAGGAAAAGTTCCTTCTCTCAGTGTGGTATGGCACTGTAAGGACTTAATGAGCACAATTGCATGTCTTCAACACTGCTACTACAGAAGGATTTTACTATGGGATAAGCACAGATGGGAACAACAGGATGGCTCTGACTCCAAGCACGGTGTAATTGAGATCTGGCTAGCACATCCTGTGTAATGGATGCAGACAAAAATTCCCACTGTGGCAAGCTGTGTAAAGAAGCAACTGCTCATAGAGTTAAAGATCCCCTCAAGTTACAGAACAGATTGTACCTGTGACCAAAGAAGCTCCTACTGCCAAATATGCCTACAGGGATACCTGAAACTGGACTGTAAATTAGGCCACTGTGGAGGGAGAGATAAACAAACCTGGGAGAGAAGAGCATGTCACTAAATAATGGACATAAAGAATGCAACCACAAGGAAAGCCATCTCAGCAACTGTGCTGAAATCAGCTCTGAATGGGTGAAAGGTAATTCTTGCAGGAGGAGATTGTGAGTACAAATCAGAACTCACTGACTTAAGAGAAAGACTGAGCATGGGAATCTCCTGACGAGCTGTATCTTCTTACTTGTAAATCAGTTTCCAATATACACCTGGTCTCGCCTGCGAGGGTTAGGGGGAATCCTAATACAAACGTGTATACTCTAACAAATATTCAATATCACATATATCATTAGAAATGGAGTGAATTATATCTACTACATATAACAACACCCATCACCCAGGGTAACAGCTGAGTGCTGAACAAGACAAGGGAGGAGGCTGATAAGAGGCAAGTCCTGCTGAGGTGAAGGAGTGCTTTTCAACATGCCGATGTCCGTACACAAGCGACTCAGCTGTGAAGACTGCCCTCTGGGGAAGCACCAGGACATTCACAGTAGGTCTGATGGTGTTCATCTCTGTTTAAGGGCCATAATTCACACAACAGATACTTCACCAATGTAAGAGGCAGCTGTAAGTCTCAGAAATGGTCATAAAGCATCAAAGATTCCCAAAATATCTCTTGATCCACAGCATTACATCATCCATTGTAAAATTCATTACCCCAGTGGGGGTACTTGGGCATTATCACCGAACCTGAGCCTATATTAACGCACCAGATTTTGTGTGTCAGGGGCTTCCTCCATCTCAGATGGATCAAGACTGTGACCATCACTTTGACAAGACTGTGACCAACACATTGACCAATGGACAAAAAAATTGCAAGAATCAAATCTTGCTTCATAATCCACAGGTGGTGACCATGTACCTGTCTACACTTATCCTTTCTTTCTCTTTCTTTCCTTTACTTATACATTTTAAGTGCTATTTTTATATGTTTATTTTGCAGTATTTCTAACCAAAATGGCTACATTTTAAAATTTGCCAAGGACCCTATTTTATTGTAATATGCTAAAGTTTGCAGGTAAAAGCTCGTTATTGAACCTGCGGAGAATATTGTTGTTTCTCCTGCACACTGCCCAGTGTACACCAAACAACACTCCCCTAAACCCGCCAAGGAGACTGGGGCATAACACAAATGAGCATTAATTAATTAATTAATTAATTTTGTTGTTTGCTAAAATGTATAAGTAGCGAAAAGTTTTGAACAGCCTCAGGACTCCCACCACTGAGAAGCCCAGGGTGATTAGGGATCAAGAGGATACAACTGGATCCTTGAGTGGTGACTGTCTTCTGCTTGATCTGTCTGCCTCCCTCCTCTCTTTTCCATTTCTTTCTCTCTCTCCCCCTCACATTTTGTTGTTCAATGAAATCCATATTGTTGACTTTGGCAGATTGTCACATTTTAACCTTAATTCAGGCAGAGGCTCTCACTAATAGGATCATATCAGGCACTGGAACTAGCTCCCCAGAGAAGTGATCATGGCATTAACCTGGCAGAGTCAAGGGACTGTCTAGATGATGGTCTTGGTCATATGGTTAGTTTTAGCCAGTTTGAAAGGAACAGGGAGCTGGGGTGAGTGATTCTTATGGCTCTTTTCCAACTTGAAGTATTTTATGACTTCCACCAGAGCATGTTCTCCCAATGGACAGAAACAATAAAGGCACAACCTGGTTAATTTGTACCAAGGCTGGTTTCCCCATATTTACAGCAAAAAGAAGGGAAATCTGGATAAGTGGCATGACAGAGATATGTACACTGATATTTTCTGGCAGTGTTTTTGTGACAAGAAACTTTCTAAAGCTGTACAATATTTCAGGTTTATTTACAGCAAGGCCTGTACTGATTAGTATAGACATTTCAATTCAATCAGCAGGAGTGCTAAAACTGTACTTGAGGAAAATGCCTTTTGCTTAGCTTTAATAGCATTT